AGGAAATTACATCCTTGAGTGTCTCGGATGGAGAAGTAGCATCCTTTCTTTTCCTGCATATCAAAGCAATAACAATTGCAGTAGCTCTTAAGACTTATATATTGCTTCATGGTGCTTTACAGGAGAAGAGAAGAGAAGAGAAGAGAAGAGAAGAGAAGAGAAGAGAAGAGAGAGAAAGAAGAGAAGAGAAGAGAGAGAAGAGAAGAGAGAGAAGAGAGAGAAGAGAAGAGAAGAGAAGAGAGAAGAGAAGAATTGGAAGGGATCTTGGAGGTCTTCTAGTCCAGCCCCCTGTTCCAATGCCCTGCTCAGGCAGGAAACTCTATACCACTTCAGACAAATGATTGTCTGGTCTCTTCTTAAAAACTTCCAGTGTTGGAGAATTCACAACTTCTGAAGAATAGAATAGAATAGAATTCTTTATTGGCCAAGTGTGATTGGACACACAAGGAATTTGTCTTGGTGCAAATGCTCTCAGTGTACATAAAAGAAAAGATACATTCGTCAAGAGTCAAGAGTCATCACAGTAAATTATAGTTATCTCGCAAAGTATGAATGAACAAAATTACAGTCAAATGATTGTTTAATAGTGATACTAGGGTATTCAATTTTTGATTGATAATATGAGTTATTATGCAATGTAACTGTAATTCAGACTATGAATTGGATGCACAAAAAATTTGTAAACCAACCGACACACTGCTTGTACACTTATGAAAGAAAGCTGGATGTTTTTATGTTTTGTTTTTGTTTGTCTTTAAAAACCAATAAAACTTTTTAAAAAAAGAGTCAAGAGTCATCAGGTGCAATACTTAATAACCTGTTCCACTGAGTAAATGTCCTCACTGTCAGGAAATTTCTCAATTCCAGGATTCCTCCATCTTTAGACACATGGCTTGAAGTAAAAAAAAAAAAAAACACTCTCTGAACTTGATTCGGAAGTGCTGACCAGGAAGAACTGTTGATCATTTTTTTGTGTGTGTGAATCAAATGCCCAATTTTGGGGAAGACCAAGTTTCCCATTTACTATACAGATAGTCCTTGACTTATGACTGCAAGTGAGCCCAAAATTTGCTGCTGTTCAGTGAGATACTCGTTAAGTGAGCTTTGTCCCATTTTAAGACCTTTCTTGCCACCGTTGTGAAGTGAGTCACTGCATCTGTTTAGTAACTGTTCTGACCCAGGCTTCGTCAAACTTAATAAAACACAAACTGAATTTAAAAGTAAAACCTTTTTTTAATGTGATGCTGGGAATTACTTGCATTCCCAGCCAAAACTCATTATACTGTACAGTTCCTCCAGATAAGAGGATGCTTTTCAGTGCTGTAGAATGCTGCCAAGAAACAGAAGTCTGATTAAGGCTAACAAAAACCAACCGAAGTACCAGAAAAAAACCAACCAGAGTACACAGAACGTCAAGGAGGTCTCGGAATCTATCAAACGACTTTGCTTCCTGCAAAGCGTTCGTCATTAAGGTCTGACTTTTATCCCTTTTATCCCTTTTATCTCAGCCTTACTCCCAAGTTGCCCCTGCTGCTTCAGCTGCTCTTGCCTTCTAGCAGCTCTGTGCACATGCGCACTGGGAACAGGCTCCCCTTGTTCCTCTGCCTTGCTGCTGCCAGACTCTGAAGGCTCCAAAGGCTCCCATTTGGCAGCCCCCCACTCCCAGATGGTCCTGGCCCCATCCCTGCGTCGAATGCAGGACCCTCGTCCGAGTCCTTGCCTGACTCTCTGACTGGTTCCCTTTCGTCCTCACTGTCAAAGACCTCTGCCGTCCGCACCAGATGCCAGCAAACCACAATACTAACAAGGTTGGTAAGTGAATCCAGATTTCTCCATTGACTTTGCTTGTCAGAAGGTCACAAAAGGGAATCACATGACCCCTGGCACACAGGAACCGTCATAAATATGAATCAGTCGCCAAGCATCTGAATTTTGTTCATGTGACCATGGGGATGGCACAAGTCATGAGTGTGAAAAACGGCCATAAGTTGCTTTTTTTCCAGGGCCGTTGTAATTTTGAATGGTCGCTAAATGAACTTTACTACCTGTACACATCTCTATACACATAAATCCTAAAATGTTAGATTTCTATGGAGATTCTCAGCCATCCAGGTCATGGCTGGCCCAAAGGTGCTTTTTTTTTTTTTTTTTCCAAGAGGCAACTGGACTTTCTGGTTTTTTCTTTGAAGAGGTTTCGCTTCTCATCCGAGATGCTTCTTCAAGTTCTCTCAGAAGCTTCTTCTGCTCTCAGAGCTGAAGAATCTTCTTCGATGAGAAGTGAAACGCCTTCAAAGAAAAAAATTCAGAAGCTATATGTTCAATATTTATTTTTTTCCAAACAGCCAGTCTACAATATATATCTTTTTGCAATGTCCTCATTCTATTGCTGTAGAAGTGACAACATTGCCAAGGAGATATAACGGTTTAGCAAATGAATGGATGTAATGAGGCTGTTCAGAGAGTTTTGAAGTCGATCAAATTCTTTCTTGCCCCAAACCCACAATCCATTTTTCTAAATGCGTTCCTTTTATAGTTTATCTTGGACTCCACTCTGTTTCTCTGCTACCTAGAGGCATCAAGCAATTAAAATACAGTAGGTGGCTGATTAACAGGAATAAATATAAGAGGAAGGAGTTTAAAGCCAATTAGAAACAACAACAACATCCAAACTGACAAATTGAACGAAGCCTGGTAGAACCCAATCAGTTGATGGCCTGACCTTCCCTACACACAGCAAACACACAGATTCTCCAAAGCAGAAGGAAATATCTTGTAAAAGAGATGACGAACTTGGGGATTGCTAGACTTACGTTCCCAAGCAGAATGGAAATGGTGAAGGTTGCTGGGAAATGTAGTTCAGCAATATCTGGGTTTTCTTTTTTTAACAGATGCCCAGAGGTAGGATTCAAAAACCCTGCAGATGCCCGAGATCAATAATTGAGGGTGGGGCAAGAGAGAAAGAGACCATTGTGGGTGCGATATCACACCCATAAATCAGATTATCATTTCTTATTTTCTTTTCTCTCCTCGGCCAGGCTTTTGCAGTTGTGAATACAAGCCTCTCCAGCTGCTATTTGGTGTCCTTCGCTCCCCACCCAACCCTTTAAGAGGCATGTTCAACGAAAATCTTGCAAGAGGGCCCCATTTTGAGAGGAAGCCAAAGATCACCACTCATAAATATCCCCCCGTAAAATATATTCTGAAAAAAAAAAATGTTGCGTTGCAGAGGCCATTTATACCCAGTGCTTCTCAACCTGAATGTCATCACAGAGGGTCCATGAAAGCTTGAAGAAATGTTATGACTTGAACCTGGAGGGTCTGTGGCCATGGTATTCAAAGGGGTTGTGTGGTGAAGAAAATGTTGAGAACCACGGTTCCAAGTCAGTGTTCTTTAACCTTGGCCACTCTTAAGATGTGTGGACTTCAATTCCCAGAATTCCCCCAGCTAGGCTGGCTGGGGAACTCTGGGAATTGAAGTCCAACACATCTTAAAATTCTAATTTCTTACTCTAAGGAAGTAATACAGAAGGAAAAAAAACACTAAAGAAGTAATACAGATGTCAAGCAAACAGGTGGTTTTTCAACGTCCTGTTTCTAAGACAATGAAAGCATTATGGCTTGGAATGATAAATTGAGGAGCAATTTTGATTTTCCAGGAATGTAAGAACTGACAGAAACTGGGACACAAACTCTTGAGTAACCTTTTATTAGTGTAAATGCTTACTCCCGTTTTCGATGATTATCAATGCAAATGTTATTTTGACTGGTAACCAAAACAATTCAACACTTTTGGTTGTGAGTATTGCTGTGCTTTTTTGTGTGTGTTTTGTTGTTTTGTTCCTTGCTCTCTTTTCTAGGCTGACATTTTCCTATCAAAACTTCAACCTTGTAAACCATTACCCACCTTTTTTAACCAGGAAAAGAAAAAAGGAACCCAAAATAATAACAACCCTGTGCAGATGCTATGTGACCATTTAGTACATTAAGTCGAGAAGATTTAGGAAATGTTCAGATCTGCAGACTGTGAACAACACCGTGATCTCAGCACATCAAATGCAACAGGAAGGAAGTTCCTAAGACACCCAAGAAGCCAGAATTAATTCACATTTTCCAAAATTTACAGAAAATTAAATGGCGGTCAACTTCCTAAGAATTGAAGAAAACACAACGACAACCGTTGCGAACGATGGGAGAATTAGTTTGAGAACGAAATGACAAATAATTGTTGAGCAGATGATATCTTTTCCAGCCATGGGGATTGAAGAACAAAAACCAGAGGTTACCATCTAAGTTTTTGCGTGGTCCATCTTCCATAACAACATGGTGTTTGTTAATCTTGTAGATCTTCTATGGTGCATCCTTGGTGGGAATGGTCCTTTAGCACAATGCAAAATGCAAGACTTATTTTTTTGTTACTACTTGTGTTTCATATGTATGATGGGTATGCTTCCTAAGTTCTTTCTATTTAAAAAAAACCATTTAAACTTATGTACTAATATATATATATATATATATATGTATATATAAATATGGAGTCTTACTCTATTGTATATAGCATTGGAAGTCAACTCATTGTCAACTTACTTCAAAATACTATTTAATCCCATATTCCCTTTTTCTTTCTTTCTTTCTTTCTTTCTTTCTTTCTTTCTTTCTTTCTTTCTTTCTTTCTTTCTTTCTTTCTTTCTTTCTTTCTTTCTCTTTCTCTTTCTCTTTCTCTTTCTCTCTCTCTCTCTCTTTATAATAAAGCGCAAATCATTCTGTACATTAAAAGACAGGAAACTCAGAAGTCGGCTAAAAAAGTAGGCTCCCCCCCCTTATTAATTATTTTGTAAATGTAAACAAAGAGAGGTTCAAGTATAAAAGCGAGTTACTTTGTGACTTGGCAAAAGAGTTTGGCACCTGATGACATGGGTTTAAAAGGTTATTTTTGTTTTGTTTTGTTTTGCTTTGTTTTAAGGAATTCTGGCTCATTGCGAAGCCGGCCGAAAGAAGTCTAGATCTCTGCTACCATATATCGCTGGTGAAACTCAACTCTCTCGTGGATAAGGGGAGCAAAGAAGGGTTTCTGTGGAAGTCCTGGACATCCTTCACACTGCTGTTCAGCGGCAACTGCCCGTTGAGAAGTGTCAGGGGTATATTGCAGTAAGTGTGGTGGTTACTGCTTATGGCAGCGAGCGGGAGAGTCGCGGACTGCACGTTGTAGTCGTAACCTCTGCAGTAGTGTCTCATCTGTGCTGTGTTGGTGGGCGGATAATCGCCCAAGTCTGCCTGAGATGAAATTAAAGTAGCAGAAGTGTCCGTCACTGCGATGGAAGGCACTGTTTGGAGGTCAGCAAAGAGACCCTGCTCGGCGGAATCCAGGACTTGGCGCCGCGAGATCACTTCTTTCTTCTTAGCCGGCATCTCATAGAGCAAATGTTTCCAAAATTTAGAATTTGGCTTGTTACTTTGGGGCCCTTTCCACGGGATGACCGAGAAGAGTTTGATGCTGTGCTTCAAGGATTCCACCTCTTGGTAGTTGACTTTCCCTCTCAGCTGGGGGCACTCGATGAAAATGACTTTGATCTCCCCGCCGAGGAGCATGTTGTGGAGTCGGTTTTCCATCTCGAAAATACTCCACCCTCGTCGGAGTACGTAATCCGGCGTGAGGACAATCAGGAGACGGCGGCTTTGTTCTATGCATCGGGTGAGGTCTTCGAGATAGGCTGCAAATCATAAGATGGACAGTAAAGTAGAGAAGTACACATGGGAGAGAAAAGATAAAACTTTGCAATCAAAATAAGGGGAGTGGAGAAGGGAACGGATTAATCTTTCTTGATCAGGGCCACCAACAGTTTAAATGTCAAGATAACTCCGCCTCCCTTGTTTTCACTGGGCTTGATCACTCCTTCAACTGAGCTCTGATGGCCGAGTCTAATTTCAAGAGCCATCAAGGTGGAGAACTTTGGAAAAAACTTTTTCTGGACATGAGCTCCTAAGAGTTCGTTGTGGTTCGCCAGCAGCCTGTGCAGACAGCAGTGGAATTGGACAGTAGGGAAGAACAGGAACCAGTCTGGGAGTCTGGGGAGGACTTGGATGAGGGTCCCGCATCCGATGCAGAGATGGGGCCAGGACTATCTGGGAGTGGGGTGCTGACTCTGGAGCCTCCAAAATCTGGCAGCAGCGAGGCAGAGGAACAGGGGGAGCCTGATCCCAGTGCGCGTGTGCCCAGAGCTGCTAGAAGGCAAGAGCAGCTAAGACAAAAGGGGTGACAAAAGTAAGGCTTGGAGGTGATTGCCCCTTCCATAAGGTATAAAGGACAGGCAAAGGTAAAGAAACCTTTGCAGGAAGCAAAGTTATTCACTCTGTTCGGATTAAACCTTCAAGCTTGTGTTGGTTTTTTACAGTTCATTTGGCACTTTAGTTGTTGGCAGCAATTCAAAGGAAAGACAGGTGGGTGCTTATCTCGAGGGACTGTTTGGGACTCATTACAGGCTGGGAATGAAAATGATTCCCAGCGTTGAAACAAAACAAGCGTTGTTTGGACTAAGCATGTGCTTGATTATGGTCTCAGGAAGCCTTGGTCAGAACAGAGTTGGAGAAATGCTGGGTATCTATCCTGGCCTTTCCATAATCACAAAGTCACCTGCATGGACAGCAGATTGGACTTTCTTGATGTTTCTGCATCAGGTCTGAACATCTCTATCACTCCTTGATGATATTCCCCCTTCCAAAGGGGTCCCCCTGCTAAAATTAACATGTTCTCTCCCCCTCTCTAGAAGAAGTTGACTTAACCTCATGTGTCTTTCAAAGTCGTAGGGTGAATTTCGGCTCCACGTGTTGTGTGAACCACGTTAGGGTCAGGCGGAAGCTGCTGGAAATTTGCAGCCCAGCGTATACTGGAGGCCCACCAACTTGGGGAAAGCCTAGTTTAGGGATTTACACATTGCCAAACGACCCTTTCTCCTCGCCCATGTTGTGCAAATGGCAGGCATGACTTGGTTTCTGGTACTTTATGGATTGCTGAGTTTGGGTTGGATTAGCGTTTGATTCCAGGAACACACAATCTCTTTTAGTCAGGGGTGGCCTTCAAAAATGTTAGCAATGGGTTCTCTGCCCAGTTGCTGGGTGGGCGTGGCCATGGTGGGCGTGGCCTAGTTGGCCTCCTGCACCATGATGGCAGTGGTGGGGGGCTTTTCATCCTCCCTGGGCTCCGGAGGCTCTTTGGAAGCCAGAAATGGACCCATTTCCAGCCTTCCTGAACTTCTAGGAGGCCCGTATTTCACCCTCCCTGAGCCTCTGTGTGCACCCTGCACTTACCTGCACCCAAAATGGGCCACATGGGGACTCATGTGGGGCGGGTGGGACCAGCCAGGAATGGGAGTTGGGGGTTCTTCGAACTGCAGGGGAATCTTAGCTAGGGGCTGTCCCGAAACCCCTGTGAACCCCCAGCAGACCCACCCCTGCTTTTAGTCATAGAGGGAGAAGATTTGGAGGCACAGGGTTTGCTCGGCAGCTGAGCGCTTTGCAACGCTCGGTGGGACAACCTAGCCAAAATCCTACTCTACTTACTTCTTTCAACTCTCCTTCCATTGGAAGATAGGGGCACCAGTTGGAAGAAGAGCCTGCAGAAGAAAGAGCACATTGTAGGGGTTGTTCCGGATGGAACTCATCCCATGTACATCTGGGTTGGGTGGGGTTGGCCAAAAAAAAAAAAAAAGAGAAAATCATGGACCAGAACTAGCAACATCGATAAATACACAGACACATGGACACACACAGACAAGACACACAATACTGTTTTGGAGGCTACAGATGGAGAAGATTCCTAACTGGGGTACAGACATCTTGCTCTCTAGAGTCAAATGTATATAAAATGTAAGTGACTGGAAGAGGGAGAGGAGAGGAGAACAAGGTCTCAGCAAGGTCAGATCTGTTCGACTGAATCTGGAGCTGATCTGGGCTTGTCGTGCAAGTGATGTTCACATTTTGGTACAGTGTGCGCGGACAAATCCTTCTGTCTCTTTTGCGTTCCAGTTTGAATGAAATGGGCAGGAACTTTTCCCGCATGCAAAATGATCTGAGCTGATCTGCTCTTTCTGATGACAAGCATCGCCTTGGAGTTCCTCTCCGGAGATCCAACGTGGAAGTTTGCCTCCCTTATGAAGCGTGCTCTGTCCTACGAGAGCTCAACTGAGCTGGTGCAGGCTGACTCTGCCCACTGACAGCAGTTCGATCCTGACCGGCTCAAGGTTGAACTCAGCCTTCCATCCTTCCGAGGTGGGTAAAATGAAGACCTAGATTGTTGGGGGCAAGAGGCTGATTCTGTAAACCGCTTAGAGAAGGCTGTAAAAGCACTGTAAAGCGATATATAAGTCTAAGTGCTATTGCTTGCAAAGGAAGGAAGGAAGGAAGGAAGGAAGGAAGGAAGGAAGGAAGGAAGGAAGGAAGGAAGGAAGGAAGGAAGGAAGGAA